AACAATTATTTATTATTAAGATAGAAATCATATTGTGACAAACTCACATTTCTTCAGTTTTTCATGAAAGGTCAATTTTTAGTATTTTCCCTGCTGATTTACAGCTGTCACTGTCTAAAGCAGAGAAAAGTAGAATAGGAGAGCGGTTCCTCATGCATTCAGATGGGTATAGTAACTCACCCTGGGCAACAGGATCCTGACCCCAGAATCTTCCAGTGGCAGGCAGAGCAGGTCCAGGGCCCTGGATGACAACAAGCTCTCCGTTACTTACAGCAGTCATAGAATATGTCTAACTGTGCTATACTGATGTTCCTGAGAATTTTTTTATTCTATGCTTAAGAAATATGTATCTTTCTATATAGTCTGTGTTATCTCTCTGGTTCCTTCATTTGTTTTCTGTTTGAGAACACTGTGAATATATAAAACACTACAATTTTTTTTTTCCAGGTCTGAGAATGAATAAAGGTGCCATCACCCCTCCCCGTACTTCTCCTGCAAATACGTGTTCCCCAGAAGTAATCCACTTGAAGGACATTGTCTGTTACCTGTCTCTCCTTGAAAGAGGAAGACCTGAGGATAAGCTTGAGTGTATGTGTTTCTTAATTATTTTACTTACCTGAGTCAGGGGCAGGAGAAAGGACTAGATCTTTGATGAACGTAAAATTGCATCTACTATAGTTGCGTTATTTTTAGATGAATAAAATGACCCTATTTAACAATAAAAAAATTTCTCCTACTGAGGATCAGACACTTAAAAGATATTAAGATCTCCCCATTTCAAGTTCCGATGTATCAAGTTTCATTTATTACCAATTATTTCTGGAATACGTTTGTCACATGACTTTAAAAAAAAAATGTTCCTCAGTTCTTTTGAATTGACAAGCTTTTGGAAAGTATCCTTTGAGTTGTTTTGAAAAAAGATTAATGGCTAGTGTGTGAAGAAGTCTTTTCCATAAGTGAGCAAGAAAGTTACCTATTAATAGGCAACCTGCACTCTTTTCCCTTGGAAATCTTTGCATGCGTTAGCACAAACATTCTCGTTTCAAGGGACAAATGATTTCTCAAATGCCAAACTATTTATGAGATTTGAATCTGGATATTATAAATAATTAAATGATAATTTTGTTTGTTTTAGAATATGGTAGATACAGAGAATTTTTATCTAGTTCCAAGTACTCCATGTGATAAAATATAGTGACAGAGCCCCCTCTGGTGGCAAACTGTACTCATTGCAATGCAAGAAAATATTTTTCAAACATTTACTCTAAACCTGATCACTTGATAATCTACTTTATCTCCAAAGCCCTTTCTATGTTTAATGCTGACAGTTTACTCAATAATC